TTTACCACAACTCCCTTATTTATTTCTCCACCTTCTTTACCTGAATCAATTTCATTATTTCATTAAATCACTTCACACCATTCTAAGTTCTAATGCTTAAATAAAACAAGATTATGCATACACCAGTTTTCATATTCTCAGTTCTAATGCTTAAATTTAAATACAACATCCATACGCAAACACTCATAAATCATCTCAAATTCATCAATAACATTTACATTACTTGAAACACAGGGTGCATTTCTGTACATATCATACTCAAATACAATAATGCATCAATAATATCTACATAATGCACTAATAGCAATTTCGTAATGCATATACAGATATTCCCAATCACTTATTTACAAATTCCACTCCAAAACACACCCCACAATAGCATACCATCCTAAATGTTACTAAACCATAATTTTTCTATAAAAACAGGATTTCATAATAATTTAAGAACTTGAGACCAGAAAATTAAACGGAAACAACACAAAAAATACATCTACTTACAATATAACTACCCAGTGTTGCATTAGAAGACACCCGGAATGCATCCTCTCCTAAGAAGACACTATAATACCCTCAGCATATCACAGAATTTACAAACTTTCCCACAATCGCAACATAACACATGGTGCATTCATGTATACATTGCATAAAAATACAATAATGCATCACTAACATGCACATAATGCATTCCTAGTATTTACAAAATGCGTATAAAAGTAGTCTCACTAACAAACCCCAATTGCGTTTCTAGACTCACATCCAATTGCATCAAAACCCTAATTTTGAGCAACTCTGATGCATTCCTACTACAATTGAACAAAAAAACCCCTAAAAGAATCCACATAAACCATCTCATCATAATACCTAAAGATTAGATGCAACGAAAGACATGCAAATGAATCGTTTCAAAATAAACCAGTGTAAGTACCCCAAAGTGGTAGATGAACACCGTCTAAGCAAATTAAAAACTGGAACTCATACCATTTGTTGCAGCCAGAACTTTAGTCCTTAAAAAACCTTCGGTGTTTCTACCTCTAATGCATCTCTAATCATCGCCATCTTCGTGTCTTTCGCTCTCTACTCTTGGATCGTAATATGGTGGTAGGCCTATTGCATCGCAGATTTTTCTCTGCACCTTCAAACTTGGTAAGCGTGAAAGGAGGCTCTTTCTTTACGAAAATGGTAACCGAGAAAGGTGGGATGCGTATTTTTAATTCGTGCAGGACACTCAATGCAGCATAAAATGACAGATCTACCCTTCCAACTAATATTTTCCTAAATTGATGCACTCTAATCATTACTATCCATATATATCTCACATGCGCCCCATATTTCTCAAAAAAATCACAGCCACACACGATGCATCTAATCCTATGATCCCAATTCATTCTCATTTCTCTCCACAAGGTCCATTCTTACTGGAACCGACCCATATATATATATATATATATATATATATATATATATATATATATATATATATATATATATATATATATCAAATGGTTATAAAATATTTTAAAATCTAAATGAACTGAATATTTTTAAACGAACCGAATATATTTAAACGAACCGAATATTTAAACGAACCGAATATGTTTAATATATTAAACGAACCGAATACGAATCTTAAAAAATATTCAAACTGAATTCGAATTCGAATTCGAATATCACTCCATCTTAACAAATATGAATATTTTTCATGAATATTCAATTCGATTCGGTTCGTTTACAACCCTAGGTGGGGGTGGGGGGCTTTGTCATCTTTTTTTTTCTCCTTTTCACACTTGCATGTCCTAATTTGTCACTAGTGATGTTGATTCAGACTCCTATTGCATAATAATAGGAGCAATGCTAGGGGTAAGGGACAAATAGGGTACACATTTAGTGTATCCTAAATGTACACCACCCTCTTCTCCACCACCCATTTTTATTTTATTTTTATTTATTTATTTTTTTTAAATTTCTTGCCTTTTTTGTGGACAAGGAGGGAGTGGGGGCTAATGGGGTACACATTTGGTGTACCCCTATCATTTTTCTAATAATCCTAAAGGTATACCACAAATATACACCACCCCCCTCTCCACCACATATTTTTATTTGATTTTTATTCACTTATTTTTTTAAAATTTTTTTGCCCTTTTTTATGGTTATGGAGGGAGTGAGGGACAAATGGATGGGGTAGGTGTACCCCTAGCATTTTTCTTTTTTTCTTTTTTACAACATTTGTGTGAGTTTTTGACATGGTTTCGCTATCTTGCACGAGTTTTTCAAATAATTGGTGATTTCCGTTCCTGTTGCGTCCCCTTTTGAGCAACTGAAAATGTCTCGACGGCCAGGCTTGTAAAATTTGAAAAAAATCTATGGTTTTTTAGTCCGAACAGTAAATTGTGTGAAAAAATTTGAGAAATGATACGAACCACATACTATATTGTTTTTCATAGAGTACAAAAACCGAAAAAAATTAAATTGGCACAAAAGAAACCAGACAACTTTAAGTCAAGATAGAGAGTAAGGGAAGAAGGCCTGCAAAGTAAAAGCATGAACCATGCAAACATTATCCACGTGCAAAATTGGACTTGGTAAGTGTAGGGTAATGTATCTGTCATTCGGAGGCCTTTTCTGGTCCTAATTTATCTATCTTGCATTTATTCATTAGCTTATAAACATAGTTCGTACCAAGTTTTGTTTTTTTTTTCTCATCTGCAAAGGTTATAGAGGACAATGACATTTCCAATCCAGTACAAAAGCACCAGTCTTGTTGATAGAAAAAAAAAACCTCTCTTCCTCTCCCTCGGCTTTCAAATTTTCTTTCGGATAACACAAATTCGACAATAAACACACACACGCACGCACAAACACTCTCAAAAACCGAACCGGTTGAATTCGCGTGCTAGAGATACAAAGTAATGGCAACAAGATGGAGAGGTAGGGTTGCTAGCTCAGTTGTCTTGTGAGGCTCCATGGGTAGGTGGGTGGGTGGGGTAGGTAGTGGGGTTGGGTGGGGGGTTAGCCACCACGGATACCGACGAAGTAGTTGAAGTCGTGGTGTTGGACCCCTAACTGCTTCAGCCAAGAATCCGCTACGCTCAACAGTGACACCACCCTCTCTTGGTCCTTGCCACTTTTTTCCGACACCCAAACATCCCCTTGCATCTTATACGAAGCCAGCCCGAATGGCGGGAGTGGGACCCCACTGCCGCCTCCACCCTTCTGATTCCCACCCACACTCTTCAAGTCACATTCGACCTCGGCATCTGCATTTCACACCCCACAGTCATTTGCAGGCCAAAACACTTCCATTAATGCAGGGAATGATTCATCAATGAAGCTAAAAGCACACTACTTTTGACACCACACACACACACGCGAGTGGTGTCAAAAGTGGTGTGCCACTAGCATGACTGAATCTTTATTTAGTGCATGGAAATGTAACCGCGTGATCGGTGTCGTTTTACCTTGAAAAGAAGATGAAATGGTGTGAAATGTGAGAAAGCAAGTGGACAGATCCTTGCTGGTTTTTCCCATGGGAATATGATATATTGGGTACCTGAGTTTTTTTTTAAACCCACAACATTAGTGACTTGATCTTTCTTTTATCCCTTATGTAAAATCATCTCATAACAAACAATAAAAACAACAAACCCAGTAAAATTCCACAAGAGTAGAGCATAAAGAGAAGGGAGGAGTATACCAAGCAACTGCCATCCAACTAGCAGGCGAAAGATCAACGCTTCTTAATGACATTAATCCGGGGTACCTTTGAGCAAAGCCACTAATCTGCAATGAAAGAAAAGCAGGGCAGAAACAATGTCAGATTCACTTCTTCACAAGAGATTGGTAGGCTCCATTTTTCATGGCATTTATGGGTCTCCAATCTAGAGACGATTTGGAGTTTTGGTGAGATCGGAGATGGCTCTTACCATATCCATGAGAGGAACCCTTCCATACGGTGTGGATCGCTCAAAGTACTGGAAATATAGGTATCCCAATCTAGAATTTGCTTGCAAGAGGCTATCGTGCTCCGGGTTGCCCTCCTCAGAGGAACTTCCATCCCATCTTGAGAGCTTGTCACTCTCGCTCTCTTCGCTCAACGAATCACTATATGAATCCCTTGTTTCACATGACGAAACACTTTCCTCCCTATCAAAAACACACAAGCGCATAAATTTAGCTAAATTCATTCATTACAATTTCTTCATTTATACATCAACAAATGCACCAATCCTCATTAAGCACCACAAGATCCCTTTAAACTTCAACATCGCTAGAAACATTGATCATCAAGAGAGGAACAAATTCAATCAAAAGTTCAAACTTGTGACTGGACACCCAAAAAGGAAAGGTATTATAGTGTAACATATTCGAAACCGTAAAGAATGAAAATGGCACCTTAGACAGTTTAGGGAGTTTAGCGAGGCGCTGCTCGTAAAGATTTGAAGTGCAGACAGATAAGGAACAAAATATTGAACAATTGTTTCGCCGTTGTCCAAACGGAGAGGAACGCCAGCCCCATAAACACTCCATTCATCATAACAGCTCCAAAGATCAGCTAAAGTGAAGTACTCACACCCCTCCCTCTCCACTGGATGCCATAGCCTATTCAGGCTCCCTGTCTCACTCTGCTCTCAGAAATAAGAACAGAAACATCAAAATCAGACTATGGGAAGTTGCCTGAACAGAAAGTAAAGATCTTTATATGAGTGATTCAAGAAACAAACCTTGGGTAAAAACTGGGAATTTGCTATGGGGGTGGTGCAGTTCAAGAACCATTCAAGATTTGATGGCATTGAGCTCCTGTCCATGGCTATGGATCTTTTTGAAGGATGAAATGGACAGAAATTGCAGAAACCACAGAAAGGATGAGAGAGGTGCAGAGGTTATGCGATTCTGATCCCCCCCTCTCTCTCTTTCTCTCTGTAAAACAGAAGAGATCCAAACCCAAACTGAGAAGGAAATTAAGCAGAGAAAATTTCTGGGAAAGAAATGAAAAGATTCTTCAAGTATTTATACTTGCAGAGAAACAAAACAAAAGAAAATTACAAATCTTTAGCTTTCAGCAACTACGGAGATCAATCAAAGCAAAAATGTACGAAATCCGTAACTGTGCAGTTTATGCATTAAAACAATTAATTAATTTAAAAAAGACGTAGCAATCCGTCAGCGATTTCTTTTTTTAAATTATAAATCTTTTTAATTATTTTTAAATGGCGTCAGAGTCAATTCAACGGACTTCCGGTGACCGGAAAGCCAACATTCCGGCGAAAATTTCTGATCCAAAAAGTCAAAACCCACGCCTAGTTTTACCCGAAGATTTCGAATTGCCCGTAAAGATAGCCCAAACCTGCGACAAAGACAGAGTTTTCTTCAACTACAATGGGAACAAAACCGTCTTTTATGTCTCTCTCTTTTTTTTAATCTCCCCGGGAAAGTGAAACCGCCAGTTTCGGATAACATAAACAAGACGAGGAATTGTTTGGCGTTTCGATTTACGTTTTTGACACGCGAACAATTCCAGGGTCTAGAGAGAGATTTGTTATAGAAAGAAAGCAAGAAAAGGTTGAAGATGATGACGAGGGCAATAATCCCTTTCTGAACGGAAATTCATGGCATCAGATTTAAAAAGAATCGACTTTTTTACTGTATGGGGATCGAATAATGTATAAAATCAGGCGAAATTATGGAGTAAATCAATGGGAAGCAAATAAATTAATGCAGGAATAGAAAGAAAATATGCAGACAATTTCGTGAATCTGGGACAAAAAATAATTCTTGCACGGTGGTTCCTAAGACAAAAAAAAAAGACGCTGTGACGTTTTGACAAAAATTTCTGTCTTTTTACCACCGTTTCGACATATATTTTTACGGTTTTAAAATTCAATTTATTTTTTCTCAGTGACCGTTCAGCCAGATCTAAGGAGGTGCTCAGAGATGAGACTCATACTTTTTTTTACTATTTAAAAAATAGTCCATAGTTTTGGAATGAATCGTACTTATTTGATATCAGGAAATTGAAGAAAAATACGGAGTATTAAATAGGGAGTACAAACTTGAAAGTGAAAATTTACTTCACCGAGTAAATTTTTGATTAGAAGAAAGTGAAAAATTGTAGGTTTTTGGACAATATATTCTTTATTAAGAAAGTAAACGTGGCATACAATTATTTTGAGCATACTAACAAATAAAGTTTAACAATTTAATTTAAGAGGAAGGGAGGGCATGTTTGGTTTTTGGCATTTAGAATGGCTTTTGGCGCTTTGACCCATTTTAGCAGATTTGACTGGTCAAATTGCCAGAAAAGGTGTTTGGTAATTGGCTGCAAGGGTTGGTTGTTTGAGTCCGAAAAGCCAAAATTTAAAAAGGTAGGGGGAGTAGCATTTGAGTTTGGCGGTTTGAAAATAGATTTTTTTTATTATTTGTTATTGTAAGTAATTTTTATGAATAAATAAAAAATAATTATTTATTTCATAATTAAATAAAAATTGATATATAAATAAATATATAAATACAAATTTATAAATAAATAAGTAAATCAAATAATAATTAAATAAAAAAGTAAATAATATAAAAATAAATAAATAGCCCTTCCCCATGTAAAATTCATGAAGTGATTTTCGAGAAAAAAAATTCTAATTTTTTTGTTGAGATTTTGGTGTAGAAATAAATAAATTATATTTTTAAGAACTACACCAAAAAAATTTTGAAACAAAATATGATATTTTGTATAATTATATATTCTATCAATTAATCGATAAAAACACGTAAATAAATAAAATCATAATGACTTTAGAACAATATATAACTTAAAATTTTATTTGAGGAAAGAAAGAATATATATTGCAAAACATGTTATACCATATAATTATATAAGGAAAACTTTATTTACTTTATTGGCCTATTTTTGTTACCATTTGATAAAATAATATAGTCATGTCACCTCTAGTTTTGTAGATCTTTTGATATAGTTTTTTAATATGTAATTTTTATTTTTAAATTTTACACCATTTTTCATGTAAAATGATTTGAAAATAACTTCAGTTAAACATCGTAACGCGCAACGAGAAGTTTATTTATGAATGGGGGGAGTATTAACTATTGATATGGTCTTACTTTGATAACATCTTTTTATTTATTTTCAGAGTTCTCATAACTTTTTTTGTGCATTTTATTGAAGATTTGACAAAACAAATTATTCTTATCAAATTCGTGAAATATCTAGAGCTGGTCATATTTAGACTTTGATAATAATTGTAAGTATAAAAAGCATAAAGAACAACACTAGATGCGTTCACGTAGTTTAGAAAAATTCTCCTACTTCGCGGGGTCTACGTCTAGTAGCATCCAGCCGCCCATCCCGCCCTAATGGGGACGGACTTGGAAATTGGATTTGGCCCGCATGGGCTGGCAGGTCCGCTGTATATAAGGGAAAGAAAATAAGTAAAGTGATAGGGAAAATTAAGCATAATTAAGCAAAATGAGTATCGAAAATAAGGAAAGAAAGTTAATGAAGTTTGACCATGCGAATAGTAAACAGACAATATAATTTGGAACAGAGAAAGTAAAAAATACTTCGTATTGGTTTTGTATTTTTTCAAAAGCTTAGCTAACAAAATGGAACTAACAATTTTGTTTCATAGATATTTCAAATTAATTTGAAATATATATATATATATATACACACACACACACACATATATATATAATTTTAAAATTCATACCAATTTGTTGATAAAATTATTTTGAAAGAGATAAAATTTCACACATTGTTCGAAATATGGAAGTAATTTGTAGAGAGAGGGGTAGTAAGGAATATATATATATATATATATATATATATATATATATATATATATATATATATATATATATATATATATATATATATATATATATATATATATATGGAGTAAGTTACGACCAATGTGAACTCTTGTCTTACACTCCGTTAGAATTTTTTATTAGATTTTTAGTAATGTAATTTTTGTTTTAAAAATTTATCAATATTGTAACAAGAAATCGATACGTTTTGGTAAAATATCATTCAAAAATGAAATTAGGAATTAGGATAGAAATTTAAACTTTATATTTTACAATGCTTTTGGAAAGTTGATTTTTTGTTTTAACTTTTTCTTACGTTAATGTGGTACGTAAAGAAACTAGGTGTCATAACAAAAAGTAGTTTTTTTAATAATAAAGAGTGACTTTTTTTCAAGCATGAAAATGTATGTGGTTAAAAAATGTACGGCTTCCATCACTGCGTATATGTTTAATTTAGTTTTATTTTGTACTCCCTTCGTCCCAAAATATAAGCAACACTCCACTATTTAAAAATCACAGAAACTTTTATTTATTTTTGCATTTTTATTGATTATTTGATAAAATAAAATATTCTTGTCGCCACTTGTTTTGTAGAACTTTTGACATAGTTTTTAAATATGTAAGTTTTATTTTTTATTTGTAGACCATTCTTTAAATAAAATGGATTGAAAAAATTCAAAAAATTACTTCGTTTAGCGTAATGTTGCTTATATTTTGGGATGGAGGGAGTAGTTAAATTGTACCAAATTTTGTAATTAATTAAATAAAAATTTTAACTACTATTACAAGAAAACTTATTTGAAAATATTTTGTAAAATACTTTTTAAAAATACTCCATATTTTTTATTATTAATTCTCCGTATGTAATATAAGAGTATGGTTCTGTTGACATTAGTTAACGGTGTTAATGTATTTTTGAAATACCTCTAATGCCCATTTTGCAAAATAGACACATCTTGTGCCCTAAATCCCGCACTGCACCCTAGTTCCACCACTGAATCGCCCACCACAGCCCCACCCCACTGTCTCCTACCTCAACATCCCCCAAGTCCCCCCTCCAAATGTGGGGCTTAGGAGGGTGGGGCTAAAAGTTTTATTCTTTACGAGGAGGTAGGTAACGAGATGCAGTAGAAATCAAATCATCTACGTATTTTGTAAACGAAGCATCAAAAGTATTTCAAAAATGCAGTGATATTGCTAGTGATACTGTTGGGGAGTGTAAAAGAAATCATGTCATAATATAATACTCCATATCCACTTAATGGTAACACTAATTCAATTCCAATCATGTTAGAAGTACACTAGAAAGTGTATTCCAAATTATATTCCAAAGGAATGTACTAGTACTTTGACAATTCACATTGGCAAAAAATGTTAGGTCAATCAAAAAATTGACATTAATACATTGTGTCGGTTGGAATATGTCATTTTGATATGAATGATAGTGATAGTGTAAATTATTTTCATCTTATTTACCACTCCTCCCCGATACATTGATTTGTTTATAATAAAGTTTACGATATTTGATTTATTGATATTAATTTTAAATTATTTTATTTAAATATTAGAGTGATGAGAACGGATCTAACGATGTAAAAAAAATTTAAAAATGGTCGACCCACAATTTTTTGTGTAAAAAGAAATGGTCGACACATAATATATTCAATTGCACTAAAGGTCCGTTTGGTATACAGAATTGACGGAATTGGAATTGAATTGGAATTGAGATTCCATGGGATTCAATTCCATAGAATTGAATTCTGCCAATTCCAATTCATTTTTTGCACTATCAATTCCAAATCCGCATACTTTTTGTGCTACCAAACACCAGAATTGGAATTGAAGTCCTCAATTCCAATTCCATAGCTTGAATTCCATGTACCAAACGGGGCCGGGTACGTTTGGTATACAGAATTGATGGAATTGGAATTGAAATTTCATTAGATTCAATTCCATAAAATTGAATTCTGCCAATTCCAATTCATTTTCTGCACTATCAATTCTAAATCCACATAATTTTTGTGCTACCAAACACCAGAATTGGAATTGAAGTCTTCAATTCCAATTCCATAATTTGAATTCCGGGTACCAAACGTGGCCTAAAATATTTATAACGCGTTGTCTACTATGACTTACTCCCTCCGTCCGAAAATTTTCTTCCCGTGTTGACTTGGCACGCTTATTAAGGAATAGTTAAAAAAATGTAAAATTTTCAAAAATGCACTTTCCATAAACTTTTAAATATCCTTTTATTATTAAAAAAGTATTTAAAAAGTAGATTTGTGATAAAATAGAAGGGTATAATTGATATTTAGCCTTAAAAAGCATACTAAAAAAGGAAATGAGAAGAATATTTCCGGACGGACTAAAAAGGAAAATGGGAAGAATATTTCCGGACGGAGGGAGTATTTTATTCTACTATTCGTCTAATTTAAATTTTTTTTGGTTAATTAAGACTAACCATTGATTTATACTCCGTAATTAAATAAAAGTTACATGATATATTAATTTGTTTGAACGTAACTTGAAATTTTTTAGTTAGATAAATATAATAAGATTATTTTTTGATTAATATCTAATATAAATTTTATTTAATTAATGTTTAAAGTTTACCAATTTTTATTGAAAAAAGTGAAAACTATACAAATACCAAAAAGGAACACTTTTCATCATTCATAAGTTAAATTTTATTTTATTTTTGTTTACCTTACTTATATTTGGTAATCGTTTTTTAAAATAATATAGTTACTTCACTTGTTTTTAAATATTTTAATAGAGTAAATTTTCAAAATCATACTCAATAATTATGCGTTTTTCGT